ATCTTATTATTTCTTTTATTAGTAGCAAAAAGGCTTGTAAGTCCTAGTGCCCTGATTTTTGTTAGTTCTGGCAAGAACTAGAAAAATTAATAGTGATTGAACACCTACTATGTGCCAGATTCTCTGCTGAAAGGTCACTTTACATAAATTACCTGTTTAATTCCCCTGAGATATATATTTTACCAATAAGGAAAATGTAATTCCCCTGCAACATAGATTTTACCAGTAGGACAGAAACATTATCTTGTCCAAGGAACTCAGCCAGGAAGGGCTTAGCAGGGTTTTGAACCTAGATCTTTCCCTGATTCCTAAATCCTGTATCATCCTTCTACTTCACTAGGCACCCCAGTGGAATTTCTCAGGACCTCATATATTCTATAAAATACAGAGTATCCCTTTCTGAGACAGGCTGCAGAGGTTATGCCAGAATGGAACACTTTAACATACACAGGATGCTAGCCCTAATTTATTTATGGGTAAATTATGTATTAATTCCAAGGGAGTTATTCCCTAGGAAATCAGTGGTAGTATAGCTCCCAAAAAGAAGGATCCAAACTGAAGCCATTCCTGAAAACAAGACTGGCCACATTGTTTGCAAGCACAGTATAAAATGAGGACCCTTGGTCAGAAATTCAAAATTACAAGATGGCCATAACACAGCTTTAAACTAAGTGCTGGGCCCTTCTGAGCAAGGTGTCCGGGATGACTGCACCAGTCACACCACCATGAAGCTGCCCTTCCTGGACAGAAGCTCTCACCAGTATCTCTAAGGCATTATGAGCCTCCCAATGATACGAGATTGAGTGCCTATGATACACCTGGTAATATGATATTACCTATGATATTTGGCACTTTACATAAGCTACATGACCCTAAAACAAGTCTATGAAATAGGCATTATTTTTCCCATTCCTCAGTGGATGAAACTGTCTTCAAAAGGCCATGTCACTCATCCACTGTCATAAAACAAGTAAATATCAGAGCTAAGACCAACTTAGTTGAAATGTTAAAAATCCTGCTCCTTAGCTGGGCATGGTGGCACACACCAATAATCCCAGTGACTCAGGAGTCTGAGGCAGAAGGACTGCCAAGTTCAAGGCCAGCCTCAACACTTTAGTGAGACCCTCAGAAACTGAATGAGACAGTCTCAAAATTTTAAAAAAGGTTGGGGATGTTGCTTAGTAGTAAAGCACCCCTGGGTTTAATTCCCATTACCAAAAAAGAAAAAAAAAATTGTTCCTTGACTTTGTATCCTTTTCAGCACTGGTCCTTTGTCTTCTGGCAAAACATAAACATAAACTGAGGCTATAATATCCAGAGACTATGAAGGATCCAGGGAAGCTGGGCATGGCACAGTGGCACATGCCTGTAATCCTAGCTGGTCAGGAGGCTAAGGCAGGAGGGTTGTGAATTCAAAGCCAGCCTTAGCAATTTAATGAGGCCCTAAGCAACTAAGTGAGACTCTATCTCTAAATAAAATACAAAAAAGGGACTGGGGATGTGGGTCAGTGGTTAAGTGCTGGGCTCAATCCCCTATACCCCTGTGCCCCTCACTGTGCCCATAATTAAAAGATGCCAGGGAAGAAAAGGGAGTTACTCAAGGAGTCCATATGTGCTGCAGCTAAAGCACCTGTTCCAAGATTGGTGATAAACACTAGAGGTGTTTGGGTTTTGTTTAGTTTTATGGGGGTAGAGGGGTTGGGGGTGGTATGGTGCCAGGGAAGGAACCCAGGGCCTCATGCATGCTGGGCAAGAATTCTACCAGAGCCACCTACCCTCCAAGTTCTAACTCAATGATAAAATATTGGAAAGGGCCTTCTAAAGTCAGGAACAAGACAAGGATGATAGCTGTTGTTGCTTCTACCTACAGAATACTGGAAGTTAATCTAACCAGTGCAGTAGATAAGAAAAAATGTTGAAAAGCATTCAGAAAAAAAATTTTTTTATTTGTCCTGCTGTGTTGAGAATTGAACCAAAGGCCTTAAACATGCTAGGCAAGTACTCTACCACAGAGCTTCATCCTCAGCCCCCAGGGTCCCCTTTGATTCATTATATACCTAACTCTAAAAGGAAAATAAAGGGCGAGGGGCTAGGGATACAGCTCAGTGGTAGACTGCTTACCTAGCATGAATGAGGCCCTGGATTTAACCCTCAGTACCACAACATCCTCCTCTAATGCCCATTTTCCACACACAAAATTGCAGTTGTAACTCTACCCAGACAGTTCCATGTTAGAACACGGCAAAAACCTAGAGGGATATGCATCTAAATCCCTTATCTCCTCCTGGCTCATGTCTCAGGGATGCAAAGCCCCGTTGTTTTTTATTCAGCTTTATTTTCCCCTAATCCTCCACTTCTCTTTAATACTAATGATATCTGCCTTCTCCAAGTGTTTGTCACTCTCTCTTCCCTAGGGAAAATCAGAAAAAGCTGATAAAGTAGATCTCTGATCCAGAGTTTTATGGTGAGCTAAGCTGAAAGAGGTTGGGATATATGCAGCCTTTGCTGCTACCATGGCAAAATATGAAAAAGAATTTTGTTAAAACACTTGCATATTTATAGCTGAAGGCAATGTGAAGTTGGGAAGAAGTGGGTTAGGCATCAGATAGATTCAAGTTTGGAGTCCTGTGCTATCACTTATTGGTTTTACGTCACGGAGCTCTCATTTACCATCTGTAAGATAGAAAGATCCCCTGTGTCACACAGCTGTTCTAATGTCACCATGAGTCACGTGTACAGGGCCTGAACAAACATAAGGGAGCCTGGATGAACTTGCCCTCTAGACTATGGCAGGCCTACCCAATGTCTGATTCCCCTACACTCTCCCTCCTTTCCAGTAGACCACAGCATTTGCTTCAGAAAAACCCACCCCCAGCCCCAGCTCCAGGGCTATTTCCTGGCTGATCTCAACCAATCACAGCAGCCCCACTTCCTCTGCCAGTTACTGAATTAAACATGGGTGTATGAAGCAATTCGACTAATCAGATACAGAATAAGTCAGCTTTGGTTAGAAGGAACTTCTGCATTTTCCTTGTTCTTCAAAGGACAAAAGTAGGTGATCCCTTTCCTACTTGTAGATTTTGTCATATCTGGATTGATGCTCAGAGCGGTATCAATCCAGAGGGCAAGTTCTTTTGATGAGGGCAACAAGCTTTAAGACAAAATACAAAACAAGAACAGAGCGGAAAGGCCCTCTGCTACCAATCCTGGACTTTACATTATCAGAGATGAGTGACCTTGTTGATGCATCTTTAAGCCAGGTTTTAAAACTTGCAGTTCAAAGTGGCCTTAATAATACACAGAGGAGTGGGATGTAGCTCAGTGGGAGAGCACTTGCCTAGCATGCATGAGAATTTAATCCCCAGCACCAAAAAGAGGTGGTAGGCGGGGGACTTCTGCCTGACAGTCTTTAGTTCAAGTGCCATGCCATCAGTGCTAGCACATAGTAGGAACTTAACATTAATTCCATCTTATTTCAAATAAAGGACATACCAGTCTCCTGTAGAGGGCTGTAAAAAGTGACTATGGGAAGTTAATGACTACTTAGATCAAGAAGACATTCCTGCATTCCTCCTTGACCATCTTTCAAATGTGTTCAATCCCACTCATTTCATAAGCACCCATAAAATGGAAAAATAAGAGAAAAATTGACAGGGAGCTCTTGGAGTGGAGCTTGGGCTCCTGGGCAGACACATGAACAGAAAGTACAGGTGACTAGTACAGGGGAGCTATTATGAAAATCTAGCCCATGATTGGGACATAAGGGAGGATGTCAGGATGGGTATGCATCAGGCACTGTGAGGGACAGGCAAAGGTATGCACATAAGCCAAGAGAACAAAAGACTCCCTGGCAGGAGAACCCACTTGCTGGAGGCCTTTTAAGAGCCTGCAGTATGGTACAGCCAGGATGGAGAGTGGAGCAGCATGCAGGCAAGACAAAGGCCTGGTCTAGGAACAAGAGCCAAAGGGATGAAGCAGGCCACCCAGGTGCCTGCAGCAATGCTGCCTGGTGGCCTGGAGTAGCCAGGAATAGAACACTCTCCCATGGCTAGTGTGAGCACCTGGGCAAAGGCTGCGCAGCTCAGCTGCAGCCATGCCCCAGCAGAAACACAACTACGAGGCTGGAAACTGCAAGGCCCCGTGGTGATAGCAACAGTCCTGACCTATGAACTAAGAGTCCTTGTTCTGCAAGCCCTTGTTCTGCCCTGGGACTGCCACTTTTCCTTTATGCCCCAAGTTCTTTTATAAATGACACGATGGGCCAGGTGATCTTTATATGCCCCTCAAAACTGCACTTTTTGAGGGTTCTCAGTCAGGTAGGAAGTACCTAAACTCACACAGGGAACAGGACAAGTCTGCCCAGGACAGAGGGGGCAACCAGGCCACCTTGAATGCCAGCTTCAACTGACAAGTAGCATCTGTCTGTAGTGCTGCACTGAGGAAAAACTGCAAAGTACTCCAAGTTCTACAGAAAAGAGTGGCTGCGATGGCTGATGATATCTGCCGTGGGCTCTGGATGCCCAAATGGTACCATGAAGGGCAGAGCTATGCCATTCCTAGCTTAATGAATTGCTTCTTAGTATAACTCCAGGAAAGTGCCAACCAAAATGGTGTAAAGATTCTGAAGATTGATTTTGTCCTAGGGTCTTCCGTGGGATCAAGAATCAGACTCACCAATCCTGTCCTCACTCAGACACCCCTGTGCAGGCGTGCCGCTCATTGCTCATCCTCCCTGCTTGTAGTACTACCTGTTTCAGTCATCACCCATAAATGTCGTATCTTCTAAGTGTAACTCTGACCCCCTTTTCCTGCACCCAGGATACAACTGATTACACAACAGGTTCTCTAATCAAGAAGAGTAACCTTTAAAAAAAATGTGATGAGTACCCAATCCTGATCATTTCTCTACTTCACCTTTTGTTTTCCTTCCCCTGGCATGATCCTCCCCTCCCAGACAGGGTTATAGCTCTCAGACAAATGGCCACAGTAGTGGTATCAGATGAGGGGGGTGGGGGCGGCTTTATTTCATACACTAAGGAACAAGGCTGTGGTACAGCTGGCAGGAAGAGGTGTAATTATATTGCATCTTGGAGCCACCAGCAATGAATTTCTGCATAAAGGACTAGGTTTGCCATGTATTATTTACACTAGCATCAATTTTCCCAGCTGGCTGTATTTATTGTGCAAATTCTCCTGTCTGTTTGTGGGCAAGGCCACGGTTCAGCACCTCTGGTTACTCTATACTGTGGAAGGGCCCCACAGGGCACCATGCATATTAAACAAGTGGCTGGATTCACCAGGAGCAGGTCATTGCCTTCCTTCTTGTTAAATTATATCCCTGGGACAGCAGCAAGCTCACATTCTAGTCATGGTGATGCATGCAGGTGTGTGAAACCAAATCAGCAGGAGCAAAGGAATAATCATTCTTTGGGGGCTTTACTGGGAGAAACTGAAAAACAACCTTGGGGGGGTGGTTCTGGAGCTCAGGGAATTGTCTTTTACATATACTTTTAAGAGAAGAACCTAGATGAAGAATTATTTTTGCATTTATGAGGTTATTTCCATCCAGTAACTCAGAGGCAGCTGACGGGAAAGGAAGCCCATCCTACAGATGGAAAAACAGAGACAAAAAAAAGAGGAAGAGAGGGAGGCAAGCTAGTGGCTCTCTGGCCCGATCATTGTGCTAGGACTGAGCACAAGATCTGATGGTGATACACAGGAGTATTCTTCCATTTACTAGTATGGCCTCTGCAGTGATGCCCAGGGTGAACTCAGCTTCCATTGGAAATATAGAAAGTGGATGCAGAGGGAGGAAATGTGGCACCAGCATGGACCTGTGCATCCTCCACGGCAGCTTTCTCTTGGCCTGTGGCTCTAAGAGTCTCCATAGAGATTGAAGCTCAGGAAACTGAGCCTGTTCTTTGGGCCAGTCTGAGAACTTCTGCAGTCCCAGGTGCAGGCTGGCAGTAAACAGCAACATTACTAAGAAGGAAAGGTAGGGGACTGTGATGCCTCCTCCTGTCCCAATCAACAGCATCAGTCATGTCTGCTCTCCCTGAAACACTGGGCTCTGCTCTGGAGTCTCCCAGGTCCCAATGTCCACCACTTCCTGGAACCCTGTTGGCTGGAAGAAGAGACAGAGGGAAGGGTAAGTTGAGTTAAGCAACCCACGTGGGTAGACCTATTCCACAGTTTCAGCATCAGAGAATTCAGTAAGATACTTGTGGGCATGGAAACCTCCCTCCAGGGCCCAAGGTCACTGGTGCTCCCCTGGGGCTGGCTCACCTGACGTGGAGACTTGGTCAGAGACACTGTGCGCTGGCTGCTGCCTGATGCTCCTGTACCCTCAATTATGTCCAGAAGAATTCGGGTGCTGGGCACAAAGCTCCAGGAACGTCCAAGAGCAGGTTTGAACTTACCACTGTCCCTGTCCCGGGTCATGTGGTTGGTCACCTGCAGAAAGGCTTATAGATCCATAATGCTAGTACAGAGGACATCTGCTCCTACTGCTTCAATTTATGGATGGGAAAAGTGAGGCCTGGCATAGACAGATGACTCCCCCAAGGCTGTATAACTTCATGGCAGGTCTGGGACTAGATCATAGGGCTCCTGACCTGGACCCAGCTCTCTCTGCTAAAACCTTCAAGCCTCAAGCCTAACCCCCAACTAGAAGGCAATGTGGCACCTGTTTGGGAAAAAGCAGTGCTAGTCACACTTTCCCATAGGGAAGTTACTGGTGGGCTTGCAGCCACTATACCCCCAACCCAGCAAATGGGCATCCAGAGACCATGTCCACCCAGCCCTTTGTAATATACCTGTGTGTTTATGGGGGCAAGAGGAGTTCTGTCTTTTTTTTTTTTTTTTTTTTTGGTGGTACTGGGTATTGAATCCAGGGCATCAGGCATGCTAGGCAAGCATTCTACCACTGAGCTATGCCCCCTGCCCTGAGAGAGTCGTCTGGTTTGATACCAGGGGCACTTAATCACTGCGTCACATCACATTTCCAGCCCTTTTTTTTAATGTTAATGTGCAAATATATTTCATACCCAAATTCATACAAGATGATTCAAATACTAGATGTACAATGATCTGTGACTGACTAAACAGACACATAAACAAGAAAGTTACAAGCACAATGCAAGCATGAAAAAGCTGTTGAATTCCTGTTTTAAAACTGACTTTTCACCTAAACTACAGTTCCTGCGGCCCAAAGCAAAGTATAACTGTATTTGTGTATGTTTGGGAAATAATAGTTTGACCTGTATTGGTCACTTGTGCTCTGATGGGGGACAGAAACCCTGAGTATTCACAGAAATATTTATAATATTCTTGATATCATTCATTTATATCTAAGTGGGATCATAAGCAAATATTTACATGCTAAATCATACCTTTCTTATCATTAACAATCAAGCCTTTAAAATGTGACCTCAGAAATATTTTCAAATAACGTGAAAGAATAGCTAAAAGGACTAATATGAAAACAAGGTGTAGTGGTCCACATCTGTAATCCCAGTTATTTGTGAGGCTGAGGCAGGAGGATCAAAAGTTCCAGCCTAGCCTAGACAACTTAATGAGACCTTATCTCACAATAAAATTTAAAAAGGGCTGGACATGGGGCAGGGGTTGTGGCTTAGTGGTAGAGCACTTGCATAATATGTTTGAGGCACTGGGTTCTATCCTCAGTACCACATAAAAAAATATATATATAAATAAAATAAAATTATTTTAATAAGGGGGGTCCAGCATTTTTTATTTTGAGATAGGATCTCAATAAGTTGCTTAGGGCCTCACCAAATTGCTGAGGCTGGCCTCAAACTTGCAATCTTCCTTCCTTAGCCTCCCGAGTCACTGGGATTGTAGGCATGCACAGCACAAGTTTTTGAATAGGAGTCCTAATCTGGTGGATCGGCTCCCATAGAGGCATGCAAGTGTGATAGCCTCTAGAGGCTAGGGCTTGTTCATCACTGAATCCCTACTGCCTATTCTGGAGTCTGGCACACAGAAGGTGCTTACAGACATCCAAAAGCCAGGAAAGCAAGGCCCCAAGAACTTGTATTTGAATAAAAGGATAGGAAAACAGATCCTTCTACACTGCCAGTGAGAATACAAATTAGTATAACCTTCCACAAAATGTGGAAATGTTGCTTCTAGACATTTATTTATTTATTTGGTGGGGGGGTACTGTAGATTGAACACAGAGGTGCTTAACCACTGAGCCATATCCTCAGGCTTTTTAAAATTTTTATTTATAGACAGGGTATCACTAGGTTGCTTAGGGCCTCGCTAAGTGGCTGAGGCTAGCCTGGAACTTGTGACCTTCTTGCCTCAGCCTCCCAAGCCACTGGGATTACAGGTGTGTGCCACAGTGCCTGGCCCATGAGTTATTTTTCATGGGCACAGAATTTCAGTTTTATAAGATGAAAACAGCCATGGAGATGGACAGTGATAAGGGTACATTACAAATGTATTTTATACCACTTATCATAACATAATTTTAAAAACTGGGAAAAACATGCATAGCTCCTAGGAAGAATGTGAGTTGAAGGCCACCAGAGTGAGAATCTATCTCAAAAAAAAAAAAAAAAAGAAAAGGAAAAACCTGCTAAAAATGCCAGTCTTAAAGATCTATGTAAGAACAAGGGAGATGGACTGAAATGGTAATTTTTTATGGTTTCTTAAACAAGTTTACTTTAGTTAGAAGGTTAGTTAAAAGTATAACTTTAGCCGGGAGCAGCAATGCACATCTGTAATACCTGCAGCTTGGGAGGCTGAGACAGGAAGATCGTGAGTTCAAAGCCAACCTCGGCAAGGGTGAGGTGCTCAGCAACTTAATGAGACCCTGTCTCTAATAAAATACACAATTGGGCTGGGGATGTGGCTCAGTGGTTGAATGCCCCCGAGTTCAATTCCTGGAAACCCCTCACCCCCCAAAAAAGTATAAATATATATACAAAGAAAAAAGATTTTATGGAGATAAAATATAATTAAGTTTCTGTGGATATGGAGATTGATTACAAGTTTGAATTTTATATTTAATTACTTTTTAAATCTTCCTATGAGAAGCATGAAGACTTTAAAAACTGCTTCTAGCCAGGCATAATGGTGTATGCCTGTAATACCAGTGACCTGGGAGGCTGAGGCAGAAGGATGGCAAGTTTGAGGCCAGCCTCAATAACTTAGCAAGACCCCAATCTCGAAATAAATAAATAAAACAGAAAAAGGATGGGATGTGCCTCAGTGGTAGAGTGCCCCTGAGATCAATTCCCAGTAATAATAAAAAAAAAAAGAAAGAAAGAAAGAAAGAATGAATGAATGAAAACAAAAAATAAACTGCTTCCTGAGCAGAAAAAGTTACTTTAACAACAAAATGATCCATTATAGGAAAAACTGGAGAAAGGAAAACCATAGGGACAGAAAAATTACGAGGTTGTCTGGGATCAAGGGACCTTTGGGTAGGATAACAAGATTGGATACAACTGTATTTATTAGTCAAACTTCAAACAAGGAAGAGCTACTCTATGTAAATTATACCTCAATAAACATGACTTAAAAAAAGAAAAAGAAAAACAAATTGGTTCCTAATCCTCCTGGCTATTAATGGTCCAGTTTCTTCCCTTTCAGTCCAGAGCTCCAGCTGACCTGGGGAAATTGGGCTATATCCCTTTCCTAAAGGGTTTACTCTGGGTTCAGAGCTGCCATTTAAGGGAAATGAAGAGTTAGCTGTAACTGCAAATTAAATTTGTAGGCTGAGCCTCTTCCTCACCACCACTGCCATGCTGAGCTCCCGGGCCAGGGTCTTCAGCTCTCGGGCCAGCTGCATCATCAAGGCCAAGCCTGAGGGAGGAGAAGGAGAGGACAAGGGATAGGGCTGGCCGGGGGTCGGACTCCAGAGTCAGGAGATGAGGGTCCGTCCGCTCCCCTCAAGCTCTGCCACAGCACTCACCATCTCTCTGCTGACCTCCCAGAAGTGGGGAGACCACTGCAGTGACCGAGTCCACAATCACCACCTTCACAGTCCCTGAAGAACACCTCACCTGGAGGGATTTGGGGGAAGCAGCCACTATGAACCAGTGGCCTCTTGGGCAGGGCACCCGTTGCAGGACAAGCTTGCACATCCATCAGAAGCTGGTCAGAAACAAGCTCTCCATTCCAAGTAAGCTGCACGGGCATCACAGAATTCCAGCAATGCTTTCCCCGACCCAGCTGAGTGCCTAACAGACTTCACTGAAGACTTGGGTGGGCAGAGGGGGTTTAAATCACAGGATGTGGCAAATGCTCCTTCATAAATTCCCATTCAGAGGACTGTGGTCAGCTCTGGGTTCTCTCACGTCCTGTTTCCCACCAACCATCCTCTTAGGACCTTCTCCTTTTCTGACTCACTCCTCATCTCTCTCCTACTCACTTCCACCCCAAATTCCCAACTTCTTTCACTGAAGAGTTTGCTTTCTCTTTATTTCATTGCCTCTTTCTAGATCATTCCTCCAAAGCCTCCTTTCCCATAGCTAAAGTGGTTCCAAATAAAGACAGCTCTTTAAGAAGAGCTCTGATGCCATCTTTCAAACCACAAGCATTAACATCCTCCTGGTTCCTTGGGCCTAGGTTGTGTTCCAGGATTCCTTTCTCTTCTCCCTTACTTCTTATATTCTGATTCTGTTTCTACAACACTGGCCTGAATGTGGATGTGGATGTGTGAAGAGAAGACACTTGAGGATATAGCAGCCACTTAGCAATCATGAGGGGATGAACAAGAGAATCAGACATACAGCCTCGTCCCCTGATGTTCTGGAGTGGCCAACCTCCATAACTCATGTGAGATAATTAGATGTCCTTAAAGTTCAAGTCTGTCAAACAATCTCTATTACTTGCAGCTGAAATCATTTCTATTTGGTTTTAGTGGTTTTATTCGTCTCTTCATCTCTTTAGTGCAGAGATGAAGAGACGAATACAACATAATCCTTGTATTCAAGGAAATTACTGTTTAGCAGGGATGGGGAATATGTAAACAATAAGGCATATGAAATAAGTACTAAGGAATTCCACTTTGGGAGTGGCACACACAGCTGACGTCATCAGATTGTACATATGTATTCCCAAAGAGAGTCTGTAATAGGATATCTGCCCACATACAGACGGTACCTGGAGAGCAGAGTAAAACAGGGAAGGGCAGGACAGAAGCCTCACCTGTTGGGTCACAGTGCCTCGGAGGTCCTGCAGCACATCCAGCATCTGAAAGATGTCAAATGCACGCACCACCTGGATCCTCTGGAGAGCTCTTGCCTGTAGGGATGGGAAAGAAATGTAGAGGCTTGGGATAGATGGATCAGGGGGCTGAGGAAGGTAATGAAGAGGAATTATAAGGCTGAGAAGGGGAAGAGGCACTCAGACTTGGGTTTTGTCCAAGGGGCTAGATCTGCCTGGGTATTGAACTATAACATATTTGCAACTTGGTGGGAAAGAGATACAACTGATTGATGATATCTGCCATGGGCAAGAAATGGGTTGGAAACAGATGTTGGGTGATTGCCAGCTCTGATTAGAATATGCAAGGAGCTGGGAGGGATTCCTGGAAGAACTGTCCCAGTGGCATGCAAGCTGGGAAGATGACACTAACAGAGCAAGCTTGAGGGACACAGGAAGTATCAACAGAACCTCAAATTTCAAAGCAAGAAATGACTGTTCACTGAAACAGCCCACATTTTTGCAGTGTAGGGGACAATAGGGTCTTCTAGTCAAGAGTCTCACAGGAACCCAACCGTCCTGCCCCTTACCTGTTCCTCTTCATCCTGGGTCCTAGGCTGAAGTAGCTGGAGGAGGCGAGAAGCTGTCAGCCCTCCATTAGAATCAATGTATAGGACGTTTTGCTGCAGGCCATGGGCCACATTTGCAGCCACACAAAGACATACCTTAAGAGAGAATGGGCCATCAGGTGAACCTGAGCCCTCAGAAAGGGAAGGTCTGATTAGGCACTCACCTCTACCAGTCTTCCTGGCTTCTGCCTCACACATACCTGGGTTTTGCCACTACCTGGGCCTCCTACAATTTCAGTCACTTCTCCTGTATACAGACCAGCATCAAGCAGTTTGTCCAAGCTGATGGCAGAAGAGAAATCAATCATGAGGTTGGGGGGGAAAAAAAGAGAAGAAAAGACCTTCCTTCCAAGCACTGGTTCTGTTCAGAGATGTCCCAGTCATCTCTGGCTAGGAGCTCCTCTCTCTAGCAGAGCAAAAGCTTTTAATTTTTATTAGGTCCAATTTATCATTTTTTTTTTGACAGTGCTGTGTGAATTTTTTTAATGGATTATACTTCTAGTGTCAAGTCTAAGGCTTTTGCCTAGCCTCAGATCCCCAAGATTTTTCTAAAAGCTAAAGAAATTTATGTTTTACATTTAAATTCATGATCCATCTTTAGTCTTTTTTTTCCCCCTTTTTTTCTTTTTTGGTACCAGGGACTGAACCCAAGGATGCTTAATCAAGGAACCACATCCACAGCCCTTTTTATTTAGATGGGGTCTTGCTAGGTTGCTTAGAGCCTCACTAAGTTGCTTTGAACTCATAATCCTCCTGCCTCAGCCTCCCGAGTCACTGGGATTACAGATGTCTGCCACCATGCCTGGCTCATTTTTAGTCAATTTTTATATCAAGTATGAAATTTAGATTTTTTATGTCCAATAGCTCTAGTATAATTTGTTTAAAAGGCTATCTTTCCTTTTTGCTTCTGTATCTTTGTCAAAATAATTTTTTAAAAAATTTTTTTTTTAGCTGGCGATGGATCTCCATTTCATTTACTTATATGTGGTTCTGAGAATCGGACCCAGCGCCCCACACATGCCAGTCAAGTGCTCTACCTGAGCCACAACCCCAACTTGAGTCATTCATTTTTTATCTCTCTCATCAGCAATTTTTAATTTCTCACAGGCAAATCCTACACAATCTTTTGACTCATACCTAAGTATTTCATTTTCTTTGGTGCAACTCTAAATGGTACTGTTTTTAATTTCAGTTTCCACATGTTCATTGAGAATATAAAGAAATGCAATTGATTTTTATGTGATGTTGTACTCCGCAACCTTGCTGAACTCCATTATTTGTTCTAGGAGTTTGTAATTATCTGCTTGTTTGTCTGTCTCCCTCATCTGGTAAGAGCACCCTGGGGCAAGGACCAGGCCTTGTGCCTGCTACATCACCAACATTAGCACATGCCCCAGACCTGAGAGGCACACAATAAAGGTTACTAGAGAAATGATAATAGAACAAGGCTGTTGTTTTATTTAGTTCCTGTATAGTCAACACTCAGGCTCTGCAAGCCTTGGGATAAACTTTAAGAAGCAGACAATTCCTAAGCCAGGTTCTGTCCTTGTACCACCATAAAACAGATCACCCTCCTTGCCCTGCCTGGTATGGGGCTGAAGCTTCATCTGAGCCACAGCCTGTACCACATGCATCCCTTTTCTGATGCTGCAATCATCTTCACAGACTCCAGGCCTCTGAAAATGGTTCTTAAAGACCTCCCATGACCTACCTATGACCTGCAACCTGCAACGTGTCAGGCAGCACTCTAGTAATTGTCCCTTCTATTTCAAACCCAGGGACCACAGGTTTCTGCCAGTCAAAATCCTTCTGGTTAACACTCCAGCCTTATGGCTTCTTGGAATAACTGTGCTCACACCGTCTCTGTTTAACAAGCACCTGTTTAATACACATCCAAGCTCCAGCACTCCTGGATCCCATCCCTCCCACTAAGATCTGGGAAGCTCCAGTTTCATTCCATTGTGGTCACCAGATCAGCAGTATCTGCCACACTCCAGAATGGCTAGAAATGCAAGATCCCGTTTCCCCTATCTTGACCTACTGATCAAATATTCTGGCAGTGGACCCACATCTAGGTTTCAATAAGAACTCCAGGTGATTTTGATGCATTTTACTAGTCATTCTCAATCCTTCCCATTATAGGGAAAGGTTTTGTTTTTGTTTGAGATGGGGTCTTGCCATGTTGCTTATGAGTCTCAAAGTTGGGGGCTCAAGCAATCTTACTACCTAAGCCTTTGGGGTAGCTGGGACTACAGGGGCATACCACCACACTTACCTTCCAGGGAAGTGTTATGTTGTGGGTTTTTTGTTTTGTTTTGTTTTGTTTTGGTGGTGCCGGGAATTGAACCCAGGGCCATGCACATGCTAGGCAAGCACTCTACCAACTTAGATAAATCCCCAGCCTGGTTTCCCCCCCCCCCATTATTGGTTGTTTGTTTTCTTTTTTTGGGTGGGGGTGGGTAACAGGGAATTAAATATGGGCACTTAACCACTGAGCTACACGCCCAGCCCTTTTTTTGTTTTTTGACATGCCAGGCAGCACTCTTGTAATTGTCCCACTTTAGCAAGGCATTTGCTAAAGTTGCTTTAGGGCCATGCTAAATTTCTGAGGCTGGCCTCAAACTTGTCATCCTCCTGCCTCAGCCTTCCAAATCACTGGGACTACAGATGTGCCACCACACCTGGCTCCAGGGAAGTTTTTAAAAAGATGCCTTTATCAGCAGTTCCTCAAACTTATCCACCCACTAGAGTCAGGTGGGAGTTTCAAAAACAAAAATAAAAACACTGATGCCTGGGTCCCACCCCCAAGGAATACTACTGGTCTCGGGGGAGGCTTGTGCTTGGGATGTTGATAAGTTCCCCAGGGGATTCTAATGCACAGACAAGTTTAGGAATCACTGGCTTAGATCAATTAAGTTAGAATTTGTAGAAGTGAGACCTAAGCCTGAGTTTCTTTTTGAGTCACCCAGGCAATTCTAATGTGCAGCCAGGATTCAATCAGTGGGCTTAACTCTAGTCAAGAACCAACCACATCCTTGGTTGCCTTGTTCAGCCTACATGAGCTATTCCCAAATCCACCTGTGTTCCTTTCCATGTTTCCTCCAATTATGTAGAGGACCTTCCTACCAATATATTCCATATCCCTCTAGCAGCACAGCAGCATGAAAAAGAACCCCTGGCCACCACTGCCTAGGATGCCAGTGATTGCTGGGGTTTATCCTCTATCTTTTCCTCTGAATTACCTTTCAATCACTCTTTCAATTATTCATCCAAACATCACCTGAATCCCTCATATTTCCTGAAGGCCTTATTATAAAATGAGGGGGTACAGAGATGAACAGACAAAGCTCTTGCTTGAATGGAACCACCTTCTCTCTGATGAATCTAGTTTTTCCAAGGTACATTACCTTCTCTATTACTCTGCCAAGATTCACATTGCCCACAGCACAAAGGCTCTGAGAACGCTTACAACAAAGAAACCTGCTTAACTGGAGTCAATCAGGCATTTCTCAAACTTCTGACATAGGAATTCCCTCCCCGCAGCCAAGTTTTAAAGTTATATCCATTAACTGCCCACGGTGCACTGGGAGGAGGTCATCTTTGACTCTTCATATCTGTATCCTACCTGTTAGTATAATTCTTCTTCAGTATGTTGCCAAATCTCACTTGTCCTGGATCAGACTCATACACCCTGCATCGGCACCACCAGACCCCTGCTTGATCTTTCTCAGTTCATCTACCCTGCACAGCTCTACCCCACTGCCTGGAACTCTACTTTCACAATGCCCTCCCACCTGGAAGAAGGCAACACAGCAGATCAGTTAGGCTGTTAGACAGGACCTCAAGTGCCCAGTCTGGTAAAGTAAGATCTTCAGCAAATCATTTAACCCAAGTCACAATTTATTCATCAAGAAAAAGATTTTTTTTTTTTTTTTGGTACAGGGTATTAAACCCAGGTGCTCTTTACCACAGAGCTACACCCCTTTTTATTTTGAAACAGGGTCTCCCTAAGTTGCCAGGCTGACTTTGAGCTTGCAATTTTCCTGCCTCAGCCTCCCAAGTAGCTGGGATTACTGATGTGCATCACCGAGCCCAGCTAAAATGATGATTTTAAAGGCAAGGCACTCACTCAATAGTGGTTGTGAAGAACAAATGACATAATGTATCAGGAATTGCTAAGCACTCGGGGAAAGTCCATCTATTCCTCAGGGCCAAGACCCTGCTTATCCAGGGTCTTCCTGCACTCTGATCTGCACCTGCTAGTAACCTATCAGCTTGCCATTCGACTGCTCCCTCTGTGTATGTTGGTTTAAAAGCTTCTGAAGCCCAGAGGCCAATCTGCTTCCTGTTAATCACTCCCTCCGTGGGGCTGCTTCCCTGTGTGCATCCACATGTCTTCTATTCATGTTTTCCTCCTATACACACTATATGCCATACTCCTAAGAGCAGGAGCCTTGCCTCACTCGCATATGTATTCTCTGCATGTGTCTGGCACCCACTAGTTTGGATTACAAACTCATACCCCAAACCAGTGAGAGCAAGCACCATGCTGTATGAACCTTGCCAACAGAATGTGTTATGGAAACAGTAAGGGCCAGCCAGACCAATCCAAAGGCCTTTGTGGTGGCAGAGCTATTCATCAAGCTCTGCACAAACAGGCCAGAAGAGAGATCAGTCTGACTTGGCCAGAAAGCGCCTGTTGTCTTCCAAGTCTTTCCTAACCTAAAAGACATGGCACAATGTAACTGCTCTTTCTGGTGAGCTCCCCTGTTCTCTATGACTGCAGAGTGTGGCAAAGGCACCAGGTTCTGGGTCAGATACCCGTGGACTTGAGCCTTATCTCTGCTACTTGCTCTTCTTAGGCTAATGCAAGGGGAACTAACAATCTCTATCTTGCAGTTTCACTGGAGAGATATCCTATAGGCAGCGACTACATGCACAAGCTCTAGGTAAATGTTAATCCTGCTCTGTTCTCTCTTGCCCTACCTTTAAGTGACATGGAAGGTAGGGCGGATTCTAATATGCTGAATAACAATGAGAGGCGAGGGACATCCTACTCGCCCTCCTTCACTAGCAATTTAAATAAGGGGCACTCCATCTCTGAGCTAAATCCTCAGACCATTTTATTTTTTATTTTGAGACAGGATTTGGCTAAATTGCCCAGCTGGCCTTGAACTTGTGAATCTTCCACCTCTGCCTCCCAAGTAGCTGGGATTACAAACCTGGGCCACTGTGCCCAGCTGATACTGCAGACATCTTGTATTGTTTGACAGCAGATCTTACCAGGGGTAAATTTTCCACGCAAGGGACATTTAGCCATGTCTGGAGACATTTTTGATTGTCACAACTGCAGGGAGGGGAGGTACTACTGGCATCTGGTGGGTAGAGGTCAGGCATACTGCTGGACATATTCCAAAGCACAGCACAGCCCCCACCCCAATAAATAATTACCTGTCCTAGAGTATCAATAGTGTTAAGGCTGAGAAACCCTATAACCTTGTTCTAAGATAAAAGAACTCAGAAGTCCCAATGCCTCTCCTTCACATCTGTCTATATACTGCTCCCACTCCAGCCTTCAAAAACCCTGCTCTCTCTTGATCCAAGCACTGAACGTTCTTCTGTCTCTGGCTTTTTTTTATCCAAATACGTGTACAAACCTTCCAATGCCGGTGGACAGGATGGCAGTGGAGGTCTTCATTTCCTCATAGAGATCCGCGCCATTGGAAGGGAAAGCTGAGAACTGAGCCAGCAACACACGCCTCAGGGCAACCAGGGCCTGCCAAAAGGGTAGGCACTCATACCACTCAGTACCGAGCCACCCACGGGGCTTCCCAGGTCCTTACTGGAACTCACTGCTCCCGAGGCTTAAGGGGCGTGGAGATCTCGAGCTCACCTTGTATGACAAGCTACACTTCTGAGCTACCTCCTCCAGGTCTGCCGCAGCCAGGTCCACCACTAAAAACAAAACACGTGCAGGTGATTGTCGCCCGGGCAGCCCGGGCTTCCCGCGTTGGTTTCCCTGCTCTGTGATTCGGGGGTGCACTCTGCCTCTGCGCAGGCAGTCTCAGGAGGCCTGCGTGAAGTCTCAGCCTTTGGGCCTGGCACACAGTAGGGCTCCTCCCCGGGGCCTGAGTTTGGCTCCCGCACTCCCAACCTTTCCAGAAGTGTATGGGGAGTGGCCCTTCAGTGAGAAGGCAGCACCCCCTGCGGGTATGGCAGGGGACGCGGGTCCCGCCCGAGGCTTGTGCCCAGGCTGTGTGCTGGGCGCGCGGCTGCCGGACACGCGCCCACACGGTCACCTGTCTTGATGCCACGGCTCTTCAGAAGCTGGACCATCTCCTGGGTGAGGCCCGGGCACAGTCCAGCTCTGAGCACGCCCATGTCCCTGCAGGCCGGGGACGGTCCGACGGGCTCCGGCACTGTTCGTCACGTGGGTACCGCGGGACCCTCTCCAGACGCCGCTTCGCATCCGCTTTCGGGAGAGGGCCCTGGTGCGCCGACTGCGCAAGGAGGAGGCAAGGCAGCAGCAAAGCAGGGGGAGGCCCACCTGCCCTCCAGGATCGCCTGGGACTCCCGGCGCCCCGGGGCCCGCTCTCCTCCGCTTCCGGATTCCGGGCTCGCGCGCGCGACGTGAGCTTGGCCTACAGCGCCATCTGCTGGCAGCACGGGCAGATCCACGGCGGCGAACCTAGCCGGACCCGGGCGCCCAGTTCCTGCTCCCATGAGCAGCGAGACTCTGCCTGCCACTCGACTCTGGGCGCTAGGAGCCTCCCACATTCAGCTGCATTCGGCTCCCAACTTCTTCGCCAACACACGCGCCAACCTTCTAAAGAAGGTTGAACGCCAGCTTCTGTTTCAAACGCTGGGGACACAAAGTTAAGCAAGATAGACAATCCCATCCCCTCAAGGAGTTTACATATTATTGAGGGAGACTGACAGGGAAAAGGAATCAAAGACATCAATCAGATCCTTACAGATTACATAACAGGTGCTAAGATGCAGCAAAGTGCATCGAAGTCACCTGCTTCTCTGTATTTTCCCAAAATTCTTTCTTGTGTGTGTGGGGGGGGTGGAAGGGGTGGGTTGTCTGTGGAACCTCAAGTACATATGAGACACGAAAATATAATTTGGTATTTTGAAATGGCCTTTGGTTTGCCACATCCACTGGAAGAAATAAAACAGTTTCACAAATCTATGAGGGAGGTGTTATTTGTATCCATATTTAATAGGTGAGGAAACTGAGGCTCAGAAAAGTCACTTAGCAAAGGTTACACACAGCTAGTTGGTACAGGGCTGGACTCACACTAAGTGTACATCTACATGCAAAGCCAGTGCTGTTTCTAAGAGCCCTGCTCCCTGCCCCCAGAAGTGCCAGAAGTGTTTTCCTACTGTAGAGGTGGTTTTCTTGAGAGTGGAGCTAATGACTGGCTTTGTTTTGGAATCTCTCTGCAATGGCTACCATTGTCACTCAACGCCAAGTCACTTGAAAGTGAGGGTGTAGCACATTTGCACTTCTGGCAGTAAAACCAGGTTATGCGTGAGTTCTAAGCTCTTAGAAAGCACCTGGGCTTTCCTTGTGCCTATGCAACATCCTGCTTGGCCTGTGTGTCAGGATACAGATCGGGACTCAGCACCTATAGGCAAAGTCTCCCACCCTGGTGGCCCTCCTGGGAGCTGCCTCCTCCTGTGCCCAGGTGCCTTTCTCTCACCATCCTTTTTCTCCTTCCACAGCAGCTCTGAAAGGCACAGGTGTTAAACACATTGAGGTTCTCAGAGGCCAGGGCTACTGTGACTACGGTGTGTTAGAGAGCTTTGTTCCTAACTACCCCACTCCTGACGCAGGCTCTAGATCTGGCCAGCTGTAGTGAGAGCCTCAGATCAAGGGCAAGGCTGGCCCCTAATTGTTACACTCCGTGATGATTGTGAAGTCAGCTCACTGCAGCCCCATCCCACTCAAACTAAGGGTGGGCCTACTGTCCTCCAGTTTCTCTCTACTTCCTATTAGCTGGGCTATCCTGCATACTGATGGCTGTGGTTCCCCCAAACCAGATGGCATCAGAGACACTTTTTAAAGTGGGGGATGGGGAGGAAGCCCTACTGAAGAAGGAAAACCTCAACGTGATGAATGCGCTCGATCAACTACCGAAGCCTTTTCCAAACCCCAATTTTATGAACAGGGCTGTTGCTACCAAAGGACTCCCACTTTCTTCAAAAGGCAGTTTGGCTAACTTCTTGGAGTCAGATAACAATCTCATGTAAGATACCAGTATGGTCCTCCCTTCTTTTTTTTTTTTTTTTTTTGGTCCTGGGGATTTAACCCAGGGGCACTTAATCACTGAGCCATATCCCCAGCCCTTTTTTTGTATTTTATTTAGAGACAGGGTCTTGCTGATTTGCTTAGGGCCTCGCCAAGTTGCTGAGGCTGGCTTTGAGCTCTCAATCCTCCTGCCTCAGTCTCCTGAGCCACTGGGGTTACAGGTGTGCACCACCGTGCCCGGCCCTTCCCTTCTTTCTAAGGCTGGAGCTGTGGATGGGAAGAGAGACGTGAAGAAACCTGACTTCCTTGACCTGTCTCAACCCTCCTTGGACTCTCAGGGAAGAGCATGTGTGCAGGCTGGACCTGTCTGTGTGTACCTCTGCCCCCAGGTCTGTTCTCAGAGCATGTGGGCTGCCCCCTCCACAAGGCCTTCCTGGATTAGACAAGAGTTTTGTTGGTGGTCTTTCTCATCCTGCTTTGTCTGGATAGAGTCCTTACCCTCCCTCCCGCCTCCCCACTGCATGCACCCCATGGCCTAATCTTCCCCCTCTAATGCCTTCATCTGCCTGATGATACTCCCCATAGCCTTCCTTCCTTCCACTGAAGTTCACTATTACTCTCAGAGTCTGATTTTCCTCTACTTCATGCCTCAAAACTCTTTCTGCTGGCAGGATGTCTGGCCCAATATTAAGTTCTGGGAATGTAGAGCAGAATTCCCTGCATTCAAGGAGCAGCTAGCTTAATATGTGGCAGGGTGGGGAGAGTGCAGGAGCCTCAGACAATAATGAGAATGATACAGCACCGTCTGGTGCTAGGATAGGACACCTAGAGGAACCAAAGGTATCACCCTCTTGGGAGAGGGTGCAGAGAAGGGGAGGCTTCTTGGAGAAAGTGGTATTTGAGCAGAGTCTCCAGGGAAGGGGTGTTGGCGCAGGGTGATGTGGGCTAAGGGAACTGTATGCAAGGCAGTTTCATGGATATGACCTATCAAGTCACATGCAGCCCCACTTCAGAAGAGGGTTGTACTTAGTTCAATGCTTTGCTGTCACTGTCTAAAAATCCTTAGTAATTTTTCAGATGAGGGGCTCCACTCTTCAATTTGCACACACTATGTAGTTGGTCTTGATGATATGGGAGGGATGCGGTGTCCATTACCTAAGGTCTTGTAAGTAAGATCTGGTTAAAGTACCCAATGCTTGGAGAAAATTAATGGTGTAGTGGAAAAAGGTCTTGGGTTGAGTTGAAATCCACACTCTACAACTTAGATATATGGCTTCAGATAAGTTCATTAATATCAGAGACACTTGGGCTCTCATATGTAAAATGGGGCTAACACCCATCCAGCTGGACTGTTGTGAAAAGAGGACACATCCAGCCTGACACCTTAGTGGGCCTTCTCTGTTCATGTTACCACCAGCATTTCCAATAAATGAATCTGAAATACATATTAGGACAATCTGAAATATAAATGATATCAGTATCTAGACTCTTCAGCCTACCTTGTTGGGGGAATCATTTATTCCAAATGTTTATCAAGAAATAGAAAGGGTGAGGGTATTGGCCTAATCACAGTTTCTCAGGGGGTTGATAAATTGGGGCTTGGGGAGGAAAAATAAGGCCAATCAATCTCCATCAAGTAGGAGACTGACCTGGAGTCAAGGACACATAAGCTGTGAGTTATGACCCATTAACAGCTCCGGAAGTCATTCTAGTTGGTGGAGACCAGTATGATAAAAATGAATTCAAATGCAACCAGGGATTCCAGAGCACATCACACATGGAGTAAGTACTGCTCTGTGAAACGTTTTAGTTATGTGTATGTATACTAAGTGGCCATTTAATATGTATATATTTTTTTTTCTTTTGGTTTAGGTTTAAAAAAAATATTTGAAAGCCAAAGTTTTTGGATTGGTGCCCTTTTTTAGTAGAAAACTGAATCGTATATAAAGTTGGTTGTTTAGTAATAGCAAAAAACTGTCAATGATACAAATGTCCATGTTATAGAAAACCATAAAAGTTAAAATGACTGAAGTGGAGCTGCATGTATCAAAAGACATGAATCAAAACAGAACATTGAGTGAAAAAAAAAGCTGCAGATATGTTCTGAATAGTATGTTTAATCTATATAAAGCTGAAAAACATGAAAATTATTAGATCTTGCTGAGGGATAATATCTGTATGTGATAGACCCATAAAGGCATGTAGTAAATAATAGAAAACTTTTAAAATGTACTCTACAATGGGAATATGAGTGTGGTAAGGGGGAAGCATCTGGGGGCTTTAATAATTCTGATAGTTTTATTTGCTTATTGTGGTGCTAGGGATCAAACCCAGGACCTTGCACATGGGAGCTCTCTACCACTGAGCTATAGACAAGGCAAAATGCTGCAGGTTTTATTTCTGAGGCTGGGTGAGGGGTAAATGAAAGTTCAATATGTTATTTATTGTATATATCTAAAATATTCCCTTTTCTTTTTCTGATACTGAGTACTGAGCCTAGAGGTAATTTACCACTGAGCTATATCATCTGCTCTTCTTATTTTGAGACAGGATCTGGCTAAGCTATTCAGGGTCTTGCTAAGTTGCTGAGGTTGGCTTTGAACTTGTGATTCTCCTGCCTCAGCCTCCTAAGTTGCTGAGGTTACAGGCGTGCACCACCGTACATAGCAATACTCCATAATTTAAAAAAAAATCATAATAGAGAACGCTTTTGAGCATTCACTCAATGTGTATTGAACATAATCTAGACTTAATTTTACATGATAAATATCATTAGATGTTACTAAATGTAAATTACTTTGAATATTAAACAATATTAGATAAATACTATTAAAACTTTTTTTTTTTTGGTACCAGGGATTGAATCCAGAGTTGTTTAACCACTGATTCACCTTCCTAGCCCATTTTACTTTTAATTATTATTCTTCCTCCTTTTTGGAGGGGGGAGTACCAGGGATTGAACTCAGGGGTACTCGACTACTGAGCCACATCCCCAGCCTTATTTTGTGTTTTCTTTAGAGACAGGGCCTCATTGATCCGCTTAGGCACCTTACTTTTGCTAACTTGGGATCCCCTCACTGATCCGCTTAGGCACCTTACTTTTGCTAACTTGGGATCCCCTCACTGATCCGCTTAGGCACCTTACTTTTGCTAACTTGGGATCCTCCTGCTTAAGCTTTCTGAGCCGCTGGGATCACAGGCATGTGCCACCACGCTCAGCTTATTTTTAAATTTGACACAGGGTCTCGCTAAGTTGCTCAGGGCTTCACTGTGTTGCTGAGGCTGGCTTTGAACTTGTGATGTTCCTGCCTTAGCCTCCCAAGCCACTAGTATTGCAGGCCTGTGCCACTACACCCACCAAAACTCTATTTTTAATTAGATATTTGTGGATTTTCCCCCACTCCAGTAGATCGCTGTCGTCATTCCCTGGGGTTCTTGTCCTCACTTTGAAGGGAGGACTTCAAGTTTTAGCAGTTTCTCAAATTGTGGTTTTCACAACACCTGCATGAGAATCCTCTGAATATCTTTTTTTGTTTGTTTGTTTCTTTCAATCTAGGGATTAAACTCAGGGGCACTTAAACACTGAGCTATATCCTCAGTCCTGTTATTTTGAGATGGGGGAGCTCCCTAAGTTACTGAGGTTGGCCTTGAATTTGCAATTCTCCTGCCTCAGCCTTCCGAGTGGCTGCTATTACAGGTGTGCCTGACTGTACCGAGTTAAAGATCTTATTAAAGATGCAGCTTTCCCTATTGCATCCCAAATGGGGGGCCAGACATTTTTAGTGAAAGAAACTGGATCTGGTGCACTGCTGTAGTGAGGGTATTCCCAGGTGTTCAGAAGTAGCTGGGATGTGGGTAAGACAGGCCCTCAGGCTGGATGCACTGGCTTCCTTCATCTGACTCACCTGTCTCCCTCTTGCTCTAGGAAGCCTCTGACAGTGGAAGAATCTGAATACAGCTCTGATGACACCAGCATAACCCCCATCTCATCCAGTTCCTTGAACCCCATCAAACTGGCTGTGACCCAGCCCAACAGCAGCTTCTTTGCAGGAATGCTGGAGGGTGAGCTGAACAAACTCAGCTTTTCCTCACTGGTCAAGAACCCAGAAAAGGGGGACCTGGCACTCTGCCCCCATGCATCTAAGACTCAAATGGCTCCTGGCGGCCTGTTGGACCTTGACAACCCCGCCCTGGACACAGACACCTCCTCAACACGTTCGGAATCCTCTGTGATCATGAACCTGCCAGAGGCCCCTTTCATCTGTGAACACACAGTCAGCGATTCCACAGCCGTGGTACGTTCTCTGAGTCCATGCCTGTGGCAGAGGCTTGCTATGCTGGTGCTGAGTTCAGCTCTGTGTGGATTGGGAAGCTGCCTACCACCTGTGTCCTGACCTCAAGTTCATGGTTTAGGGAGCAAGGGAGGGGCTTGTCTGTATAGAACTTCAGTGAAAGGCAGAAGGGGCTCAGGACTGTAGGGAAGATTCAGATCAAGTGCCACCAGAAATTTAGAGAGAAAGAAATATTACTTCCAGCTGCAGGAATAAGCTTGGTGGCTTTGGGTAACACTCGGGCTGGGAGGTAGAGCTTGAGGTGGAGAAGAGGCATTCCACAGAGGGACTAACCCAAGCAAAGGCTGTAGGTAGGAAAGTATGGGAGGAATGGGCAGCTGCTTTCGTTGATCCCAGCTCCTAAGTCAGGGCTTCTCACTGGTGTTCCTACAGAGCACTATCAACTTATCAAAACCAAGATTCTGGTCTCATCCCTACAGGGGCTGGGAGGGGCCTGGGAATCTGCACCACTGACAAATCCCAGGTGATGCTGATGCTGCAGTTCACAGACCACAAGCTGAGCAGCACTGTAATGGAGTGTGCAGGAAAAATGGAGTGCAGTGGTGGGGGAAATGAGCATGGGCTCATTTTCTGGAGGTTCTCCAACATTAGGCTAGTTTATATATTTTTCTGTAAGCAATTTAGAAGATAAGTCTGGAAGTCTCATGGCCTACAGCAGCGTTTTTCAAAGTGTGGCTAGCCTCAGCCTCATGCGGTGATTTGACAGAAATTTAAATTCTCATCTTCACTTGAATCAGAACCAGTGTGGCCTACTGAACCAGTAACAGTGGGGATGAAGGCTAGCAGTTATAATAAGTCCTCCAGGGTATTCTAATGCACACCTAAGTTTAAGAACCACTGGCCTAGATGAAGAAATTGGAAATGGGAGACCAGAAAGGAGACAGCAGGCTCTGGAACGTGAAGTGTTAGCAAACTCCACGAGATGCCGACCTAGGCTTGCAACCATCGCTGTAGTGAAGGGTATGGGTTCTGGAGCAATGGGTTTGAACCTTGGCTGTCATTTAATTACTATGTGACCATGGGCCAGTAACTTGCCATCTCTGGATCTGTAATGCCACCTGCAATGCATGAGGTGGACAAGATGATTTCTGAGGTATCTCTCAACTCATACAGACAGTCTAGAAATATGGAATAAGGGTGAGGCTCCCCAGGGAGAGTGGCCCATGCTGTAGGGCCACATGCAGTGTTGTGTTTCTCACACCTTCCTTCAGACCTGCCTGAACTCCAGCAGGAACTGGGGATGGGAAGAAGACTTCTGATCCACCGAAGCTCAGGCCAGGTCTAAGGGAGGTTCGGGTTTTCTTTCCCCTAGATTTCCTGGACCTATACTTTGGGCAAGCAGCAGGTCAGTTTCTACCAGGTCCTGTTACAGGAGGTGAGCAAGAAAAAAGAAGAGGAGCCACCCAAGGCAAAGAATCGTCCCTGGATCTTCAATAAGATCTTGGGCACCACCGTCAAGCTGATGGAGCTGAAGCCTAACACGAGTTACTGCCTCACCGTCCGTGCAGCCAACACGGCTGGGGTGGGGAAATGGTGCAAGCCCTACAAAGTGAGCCCTGGGAAGAGGGGTCTGGGGGCTGGAACCAGGGCTGTGGAGGTTGGGCCCCCCCCCACCCCAATGTCCTTGCTAGTTTTCCTTGTCTGGAGTGTTCTTCTGGGAGCTGTCAGGATTAAGCCTGCTAGGAATGCAAATGAATGCATTCACCACAATGTTCCTTTTCCAAAGCCTTTGGCTTTTGGATTCCTTAACTTAGTCTAGGAACTGGAGGAAGGAGAGGGAAGGCCTGGGGTGGGCATGGGTCCAGGGGTGGAACAGACAGTCCACAGCTGGGGAGGTACACCTTGGTGTCATACCTCTTTGGACCTGTGTCGTATGTTGTGACTGGGTTGGATGAGGCCAAGATCACACTTAGCAGGCAAAAAGGGAGCAGAGAGAGGAAGCCAAAGGGAGAGGAAGCCAGGCTTGGATCTGGGAAGGAATCTGAGGGACTTTCTTGTTTCACTTTAGTTTGCAACTGTGGCCAGTGACTTTAACAGCTTTCCTGAGAACAATCCCATCCAGATCACTGTGCAGCGCAAGGAACCCCAGCGGAGAACGGTGTCCATTGGGCTGGAGGACATGCGGAGGCTGGAGGATTTGGAATACCTATTTCCTTACTAGTAGAGGGCCCCGGACACCCCTCACTGGGGATCAGCCTCAGCCCAGGGCCCTCAGGAACCAGACCATGAGATGTACCGTACCACCATCACCATGCCAGAGAACCACTGACTACCCTGCTGGCCAGGGCCTGGAGGCAGTGGTACTGGTACCCTACCCCTGGGCCATGGCCAAGCCTAGGGGAGCCCCATTCACCTGGAGACATCTCAGGCCGAGCTAAGCCAGGCCAGGCTCAGCCACTGCCCACAGCTGCTAGGCTCCCTCCTTCCCCAGATCTGGGCTGGGTCCAGATTCCTCATTAAAGAACTGCAGGTCATCCAGCACCCCTAAGTTTTTCTTCATGCTGCAGATAGCCTCAGCTGGGCTAGCTGCCACCCACTCTCAAGCTTTTGTTAGGACCAAGAATCCAGATAGGTTGCGGGGGTTGGAAAACAGGACCGCCATCCCTTGCAGTTTGGTTCTGCCACTGCCTGTGGTAGGGGAGGAGGGAGGACTGGTACTCAAAGACTAAAACATCTTCACAGAGAGAGTGACCCTGGACAGGTGCAGTGGCAGCCCATGGACCATTTGAGCTCTGGAGGGACACAGTGCAAAGAACACCGGCTTTGGAGCAGGGTCTGATTGAACCATGGCTCTTCCCCTTATTTGTTGTGAGGGCAGGGGCAAATCCTGTAAGCTTCCTGGACTCGGTAGCTCATTAAAAGTATGAGGAAGAGAGAACCTTTCAGATACAGGTGCAGGATTACTTGGAGTACAGCAGAACAAGTACCTGCACCAGGAAGGAGTGCAGCAACTGGCAGCTCTTTCTGCCCTCATGCCGAGGGAGAGATGTGCAAGGTGCAGGCTGAGATCCAGTTAGGTGCTGTGCAGTCTCAAAAGCACAGGCAGGGCTGGGGCGGGGGTGAGGGTGGGGTGGGGTGGAATGAGGTATTAGAAATGGAGGCGGGATGCATGCAGGGCTAGGTCTTCGTCAAGGGCCTAAGGAGGTCTTGGTGGGGATTCCTTTCATATTTGAAGGTTCTCACAGGGCAGAGTCATCCTAACACCCATGCCCACAAATATTAAGAGTGTTCTCAGTATGGCCCCACTGCCACCCTGTCAGAGAGGGAGTCCTCCCGCTTGCCCATGGCCTTCTGTAGCACAGAACTCAGCACCTAGCAGGGCCAAGTGTGCTGCGGGAGAAGCAAGAGGCATCTGTTTTCTAGCTGTACTCTACCCTAGCCAGTGCACACAGACACATGTGGCCAGTGCCTGCCACGGACAGCACTGCTTTAACCTGTCCTCTGGCCACGGTCACACTGGCCTCTCCCTTATGCATGGGGGAGAGGAAGGGCAATTCCTGGTCAGAATGGTTTTGCTATCACCCAGAACAAGGAAGGGGGTCAAAGAGATTTAGCACGGTTCACGCTGAGCCCTAGGATTCTAGGACAAGGAACTGTAACCTGAACACACAATATATAAATTATTTATTTGGCCATAGAATCTGGGGTCTGACCCTGAACACAGCTGATACTTGGAAAAAGAGGCAGGGGCAACAACGGAGGCCTCACATAGGCCTCACATACAGCCTGGCCTCTCCACTGCTGCCAGCACCAGCAAGGGACCTAAGAGTGCCCAGAGTAGACAAAGGACCCGTGGTGAGACCCCACCAGGGTCTGTCAAGGACAGGAGGCCTCTGCTGGTGAGGAGGGGGTGTGCACTCCCATCCTGGTCTTTGTTCTCTGGCAGGGCAGGCAGCAGACAAAAGCCAAGTTCAGGTGGAGTCAGAACTGTGAAACTTCATCTCCTCCATCTGTGGGGAAGAGAAGGAATCAGGCTGGGATGCCTCTGCACAATCCCAGGAGCCCACTGTGGGGGATGATCTTTTTTTTTTGTTAAACTTTATTATTTGTATGTGGTGCTAGAATTGAACCCAGGGCCTTGCATGTGCGAGGCAAGCGCTCTACCACTGAACCACAACCCCAGCCCGGGATGATCTTTTGATGACCTGAGAGTCATCAAAACCTGGCACTGTACCTCCTCTAGCCATGCAAACCCAGGCTATGTGTCCCCTGCCTGCCTCAGCCAGGACTCCACCTGGGACCTGGACTCTGATGCCCACTACCAGTGACAATCCTTTGCAAGTGCTTCAGTGTCAGAGTGTGTTTGCCCTCCTCCGTGATCCTCTATGAAGGTTCAAAAATTCCCAAGAGCCAGATTAAGTTTCCTGTGATTTCATACCAAAAAGCAGAACCAGGATCTGCACTCAGGTCTCAGGACTCTAACAAAGACTTGAGTGCCTTGTGCTGGCCACCTGCACACACTGCTAGAGAGTAACCTGAGTGCTGTCAGGGCTTCACAAATTTCCTAACTCCTGCAGCCCTCCACGTGTCCACTGAGGACCTGGCTTCACACACCACCACAAACTCTGAATACCAGATGGTCCCTGAGAATGCCATGCCACAAGGGAAAGAATGCAAGGAGGGACTAACCCACTCAAGGGTAAGAGGAACACCTCAAACACCACCTCCCCACACTCACATCCGGAGGCACTTGTCCTTCCCGCCACTTGCCACTCTCTGGCCATCTGGACTCCAGTCAACAGCATAAACCTAAACATGAAGAGGAGGAGGGGAAGGACAGTGGAACGGTGAGGGGAGAAGGGCCAGGGTGCAATCCCAGCCCCCTCCTGCCTGCAGTGGCAGCCCACCTCATCAGCATGGCCTGGCAGGTCTGTGGCCAGCTTCTGGGCCTTCACGTCCCACACCTTCAGGGTGCTGTCACTGCTACCACTGACCAGCAAGCGGCTGTCAGCTGACCATGCAATCTGATAAACAGCAGCCACATGGCCACGAAGGGAAGCCAGGTACCTGGGCCAGGGGAAGATAATGATGGAGATTATGAAACAGGTATGAAGTGCCCCCCCATTCCCACAGCAGTGGTTCTCAGCCTTGGCTGTCTGCTAGAATTACCTGGGAATTTTTATAGAATTGTGCTGCCTGGCCTCCATGCCAGACCATTTTAATCATTGCCGGTCATTACTATTTTGTAAAACTTCCCTAAATGAATTGCTCTGGGGTGTCTGGTGCCAGGCTTCCTACCTGCATGGCTTCGAGTGCCTTAGAATCCAATGTGGCCACCTGCCTAGCCCATCTGCCTGACATCCCCCAGCATAGCAGCTGCTCGCTGACAGGTGGCCTGGAGTAACTGTGGGCCAGGCCCACCTGGAACTTTCAAGTCAATATAGTCTATCTGTGACAGTTTAGACAAGCCATTAGGCCTGAGACTCAGTTTCTTTATTTGAAAAAGGAATTAAACAACTTATTACCCAGAGGTGTTGTGTGAAAATACACAACAACTGACACTCAGTTTCCCTTCAACCCCAACAAGGGTTCCCCTTTTTCCTGTCCCTGATGCATGTCTTTGCCTTGCCTCTGACCTAGTTAATCCCAAGACATTAAAACCCCTTACACTACAGCTTCTGACACTTTTAACTGACAGCAGTATCACCTGATGAGTCTGCATTTTCCATTATGCTCCCAGGAGACGCCAACGCCACTGGCCCAGGGATCACACTTTGAGGGCAACATAACGACTGCACCACAGCCCTACCTCGGGTTCCACTTTCTCGAGGGCTGCCACACCCTTGGCCCTCTGGCAAGCTCTAAGGTCATTTCTTTACTTTGATGTGAAGGGATCTAGCAGTTTTAGTGCCTACTTAGTGCTGTCCCAAATATTCTATCTCACTGATCCTTGTAACAATACTGAAAAAGAGGCAGAAACACAGAGATCTAGACAATTGCTGAGGCAACATCAAGCACCTTCTATAGCTACTGTGTCCAGTGGCACACTGCCCCCAACTCACCTTCCAGTCCTGCCGTCCCACAGCTTGATGGACTTGTCGAAGGAGGCACTGGCCACGATGCGGGAGTCAGGAGAAAAGAGCACCTGGTTGATGAGGGCTTGGTGTCCCGTCATCCGTGCGAGGGGCTTCTTGTCCTCTGCTGGGGACCACAGGAATAAGGTGAAGTCGTCTGAGCCAGACACCAGCCTCTCTGGGCCCTGGCCCTGGGGAGGGGGGCAGAAAGTACACCACATTGGATATGGTCAGACACTGACCGCACACACTAGGGACACAGGCTAGGGCTAACTAGGAGCAATGAGGCTACTTGTTCACACGTGACTCCAGGCAAGTCAATTCACCCAAAAGGAAAATGAAATCCTGTATGTTCACGGAATCATTTCTATGATATAAAATTATATGACAAAGCAGGTACAGACTGGTATATTAAAAAAAGGAACGGGCTGGGGTTGTGGCTCAGCAGTAGAGCAGTTGCCTCGCAGTGTGAGGCACTGGGTTCGACTCTTAGCACCACATGAAGGTATTTGTCCACCTACAACTAAATACACACACACACACATATATGTGTGTGTGTGTGTGTATGTATGTGTATGTGTGTGTATGTGTGTGTGTGTGTGTGTGTGTATATATATATATATATATCAAATACAAGACACTGGTAGCAATGGATGCTTCCATAAGGAATGGTTGGCTGTGCAAGAGATGAGTGATGTTTTACAAAATACCTTTTTATAAACTTTGAACCTTAGATCATGTGAATGTGGCCCTTAAACACACACACACAAAATAAAATGATCCCCAGTGCATTTAAGATTTAAGGATCACAAATGAGGATTGTTAAGAACAGGTTTTCAGTGGCACAGGTCTATTCCCAGCTATCCAGAACGGAGACTGAAGCAGGAAGATTGCAAATTCAAAGCTGGCCTGTGCAACCTGGCGAGCCCTTGTCTCAAACAAATTAACAAAAAACAACTTTTCAGAATAGGTACTCTGTGAACTGGGGATAGAAGAGACTAGAAGGGAACAGAGGCCCAAGTGTCTGAGAGAGTGTTTCAGTGACCAGCTGAGAAAAATACACAGAGCTGGGGAAGCACATGGCTGGCACACACTCACCCGCACGAGGTTGTACCGGCTCAGGGCCCTTTCCTTCAGCTCCTGCACTGTGTCCAGGTACCATAGGAGAAAGAAGATGGGGAACAAGGCTGATTAGAAAATTCAGTACAAACAGCAACATCCCCATGATGCTCGAGAACTGGCTCCTTCCCGGCAGCTCTCTCCCCTCCTCCTCTCACTCACAGGACCCCTGCAGGTCTTGGGCATTAACTGTGGCCTCGGCAGGCTCAAAGGCTCCTGTGCGCAGGGCATAGTCAGTGCTGAGAGCCATGGTATTCACCCAGTGGCCATGGCCTTGAAGAGTCCGGCACAGCACACCCTAGGGTGGAGGGAGATGGATCAGACACACATATAACCCACTTCTACCTT